CAGAGCAGGGAGAAGGTCGCTCCGGCACCAGCCGCGTCTGACGAGGCCGAAGAGCCCTTCGAGCTCTTGCCGCTCTTCGAGCCGGAGCTTGAGCCAGACGCAGCGGACGCGCCTGAGCTGCCCTCGGTCGCCGAAGCAGCACTCGAGTCGGTCGCGGATGCGCCAGCTGCACCAGAGTCGGTTGCGGATGCACCGGCGGCGCCAGAGTCGGTTGCGGATGCACCGGCGGCGCCAGAGTCGGTTGCAGATGCGCCAGCAACGCCAGAATCGGTGGCGGACGCATCGGCTGCACCAGATTCGGTGGCGGACGCACCAGCACCAGCACCGGCGGACCCAGACGCGCCAGCAGCACCACCGGACGCCGTGACGGTCACAGTCGTAGCGGTGCATGCGCTGCTGTCGTTGGAGCCGGCGTCGGTCGCGGTCGCGGCGGCGCTGTTGTCGGTCGCAGTGGCGGCGCTGCTGTCGGTCGCAGTGGTGGCGCTGCTGTCGGTAGAGGAGTTGTTGTTGCCATTCCCGCCCTTTGAGCCGTTACCGCCGCCGTTCTTCGAACCGTTGCCGTTACCGCCCTTCGAGCCGTTACCCGAGCCGTTCTTGGTGCCCGAGCCCGACTGGGAGCCCGAGCCCGACTGGGAGCCCGAGCCCGACTGGGAGCCGGAGCCGATGCCCGTGCTCGAGCCGTCATCCCCAGCGCCCGTCGAGCCTGTCTGGCCGTTGTCGCCGCCCGCACCAGCACCAGCACCACCGCCGATGCCAGAGCCAGAGCCCGCAGAGCCGCCCTTCGAGCCGGTACCCGACTTTGAGCCGTCCTGGCCGGCAGAGCCAGACGAGCCCGTGCCAGAGTCAGAGCCGCTGCCAATGGAGCCCGCGCCCGAGCCGGATTGGCCGTCGTCGCCAGTGCCAGCGGCGGCCCCGCCGCTGGAGGAGTTGTTGCCCGACGAGCTGCCGGTGCCCTTGGTGCCAGAGCCGGAGCTGGAGGAGCCGCTGCCCGCACCGATGCCGGACGAACCAGCACCAGCGCCAGTCGAACCGGCGCCGGAGCCAGTGCCCGAAGAGCTAGTACCGGAACCAGCACCTGAGCCGATGCCCGAGCCAGTGCCCGAGCCTGTACCCGATGAGCCGCTGCCTGAGCCGGACTCGCCGCCGCCAGACGAGCTAGAGCCAGAGCCCGAGCCGATGCCAGAGCCGGTGCCCGTGGACGTCGAGCCGGCGCCCGCGGAAGAGTCGGTTGCGGAGGCATCTGCCCCAAAAGTGTCGGTGGCGGATGCGCCGCCCGCGGAGTCGGTCACGGTAGCGGACGCACCGGCGGTGTCGGTGCCACTTGCGCCGGCGGAGTCGGTTGCGGACACACCACCCGCGCCGGCGGCGTCGGTGGAAGACGCTCCGGCGGCGGCGGCGGAGTCGGTAGAGTTGGAGTCTGAGCCCGAGCCCGAGCCCGAGCCTGCACTCGAGCCCGCACCTGAGCCGGAGCCGGAGCTGGAGCTGGAACCCGAGCCCGAGTCGGACCCTGTGACGCCGCCGCTCACGCCGGCGGCCTTGAATCGCGCCGTGGCGTCGTCCTCGGTGTCGCACGAGACGGCGGTGCCAGGTTTGTTGACGAGGGGGAGGGCGAAGCACTGGGTGCCGCCGGTGCAGTCCGTCGACTGGAACTTGCCGCCGACGCACTGCGCAAACGCGCCCTGGACGCACGCCTGGTCGCCCTCTGGCAGAAAAAAACAATGTCAGCTGCAAGTCGCGTGCGGAGGAGAGGGAGAGAGACGCACCGGTGCAGGAGTCATCCGCGGCGAGGGTAGCGAACTTGGCGTTGAGCTTCTGCGCATCGAGCGCGTTTTGCTTCTGCAGGTCGGCCGGCGCCGCGTGCGTGAAGACCGCGACGGAAAGGAGGACGAACGCGGTGAGCTTGGTGGTAGAGAACATGATGGACGAAAGTGCGTGTGAATTCAAAGGGATGTGTGTCGTTAATGCGGGTGTGTGAAGAAAGAGCGAAAAGCTACGTGGCAGGGACACGAACGAAAGCACGAACTATGCGGCGTGAAGTGAGAGGATGTGGACGGGGGATGAGCAACCTGGCTCAAGGGTTCGCAGAGGCGATGGAGGGCTGGGAGAAGCGCTGCGTACGGTTTATATACCACGACGTCCGCGTCTGCGAACACGAGGCCCATGCTTGCGATCTGGGGTGGTGCGCGAGGACAAACGCGTTCGCTGCGGGGAGCAGGCTGAAGCACAAAGGCCGGGTTGTGCCCCCGTTGTCGGGCAGCAGCATAGCAGTTGGAGCTGTGGAGTCGCTAGAAGAGGGCATCACACCGCGCTTTGTTCTGACCCCGCGCGGGCGAGGGAAGGGAGCTAAAAACAAACTGGCGAGGTCAGCAACCGAGGTCTCGCGCTGTGCAACCACTCACTTAGACTCTTCTGCACGGTGATGATGCAACCTCCGCGGTCTGCAAAGGTCTGCAGTGCGGGGTTGAGCAGCATCTGGACGCGTCTCAGATTCAGATGTATCGCGATCGCCTTGCTGCTGCGGAATTGAGCAGCGCTTCGGCCCCGGGTGTCATCGCAACGCGCATGATGGCGCTCGCAAACCGCCTTCCCCGCAGACTCGCAAGGTCGGGTCGCATCTGGAGTTGGAGTCGGAGCACGTTAGCTCGACATGTCGGTCTCAAAAACAAATCATGGACCTAACTTTGGCCCTTCGTTGCCAACCCCAATAGACGAACGTGCACCGCTAGATCCTTTGCTGGCAGCTCAAGGGCCCATGATCCCCCCTGTACTGCGACTTAGCTCCGTGGTCGTCCGCGAGATGACGCTCGTCATTGTGGAGGCGTCATCGATGAGTACAGTGCGTCGCTGATCCCGAATAGAGGGGAGGTCGCGGGTTGTCGGCGTACCCGGACAGATACCACTGTCTGATACAGATGCGACCGCAGCAGCTCGCCATCGCCCGTTTGAATTCCTGGGACTTGCACGCGGACTCGGGCGACGATAGATCCCAGCGGAGCTGTACCTCCAGTGCGATTAAATCACACACATCTCCTGCACTCACTGGGCCCAATGGTATTCAGGCGGATCCCTTTTGGACATGAGGTGTGTACTGGTCGGCGGTTTCTTCAAGTCCCCTTGTCACGCTCGCGATGGGGAAGTAGGCAAAACTGACTTCGCACGCGTCATACGTTCCAGTGTTACGACTCGGGTGTCACTGTATTCGGTGACGTCAACCTGGTATGAACGGTGCCGCACCATACCGTTGGATCTATACATATACCCCTCGACTGACCGGTGACACCCTACGGAGGTTATCAGGCTTGTTCTTGAGATGCATCCTGCGCGATCTGTAGTTGAACGACCTGACATGATGGAAACCGCTGCTGATACACTACAACCAGTGTCCGTCGAAACTGGAGAACACGTTGCATGCCTGCAACGCCTGCGAGAGAAGGCTATCGTGAACCCTGCTATAAATCAACACAAGTCTACGGAATGCGAGGATCAGCTTACTGCGCATCTACTTCTGACTGTTTGGGCTCACGTGGTTCATTGTGGCTTTCCAGGAAACCCACGACGGCGTGAGGGAGCGCTCCCTATCCTCCGCGGACAACGTACCTGCCAAGGCACTATTGCCGAGTCAAGCTGGCAAACCGGTGGATGAACGCCGGCTAGTGTAGCCGCAGCTGCAGCGTCCAGAGTGCACTCAGAATAGCTGCTGTAGAATTCACGCTTACACCTCGGCGTCCATGGTTGGGCCAGTACTGTGCAACGTGAGCACCGCGTCGTTGTGTCCTGCGGGTGAATTACTTCCTGAAGCTGCGACATCGGGCAGACTCACCCGAACAGTACGCTATTTAGCCCACGCTCTGTGAGACGGAGAATGCTCTTCAAGGAAACAACTTGAGTCTGTGGGTGCCGGACGGCTAGTAGCTACCTGCACTAATGCCGTAGAGCTCCCTGGGGAAAGCGAAGGTTTGAAGGACCTGAAAGCGCGTTCGTACATCTGGCGTCAGCGGCCATCATCAAGGAGGCAGTCAGTACAACCGGTTGGCTCCGTACGTTTGCCATGCGGCTGCTGCTAACGCGGAGATGGATAGTGACCAAGGAAAAGGAGAAATTACCTCAATTGCAGTATGCTTCGTTGAGCACCATCTCGTGGATGTTCACCACGTAGCTGCATGGGGTTCCAGGAGCGCCATAAAGGGACATGCTCACAAATGCATCCACGAGTCCGCATGGGCGTGAGAGGTCTCGCCGGGGGGTAGAGTGATAGCAGAAACGAGTGCCATTCGTGGTCCGTACACTACTGCCATCTCTATCGTTCCTCGACCTTGTCCCGACACACCCGCTCAGTGAGCGTGGTTCTTGTGGTGCTCTGGTAGGAAGAAAGTAGCCGTAAGCGAGCCGGTTCAACACTACAAATGCGGAAGATACTCACTGAGGTGCACTGTACAGCGGAACGCGATTGGCGCAAAGAGTAACACAACGATCAGTTCGTGCAATACACGACAGCACACGGACACATACTCTGGTAGTCGATGGTGTACCCAAGGGTGAAGATGCCAAGGATGGTGAAGAGGAGGGGGGCCGCGGACGCGTTCTTGCCGTTAAAGTAACGCGCCTTGATGCCGCCCGACGCCGTCGTCGGCGCGGGGCCCTTGGGGAGCTTGGAGTAGAAGTTCACGAGGGGGCTGAGGCCTGCACCCGTGCCAGAGGACTGTCGTGCGCGTGCGTGAGCGACAACCGGCCGTGCTGGCATTTCCGCCATCACTCACGAGGAGGGAGGGGGTGGCAATTTTGGGGGGCACAAGACCTCCAAGCTGGCGGCGGATGAGAGTGGGCTGCATGGTGAACGCGACCGGGCGTGGAAGACGAGAATGCTGGACAGAACGGCGACGACGCTCGCTAACCCGACGTCCTCTCCTCCTCCGACAGCGCCGCTGGGCACGTGTCCCGCTTTCTTCCGAGTCTCCTGCGCTTCTGCGATTGTGTAGGCACTGTTCTGACACAAAAATGTGTGCCCCGTGGCTGAGTTGGTTACAGCGTCCGACTGTTACTCGCTTGCGTCAATCGGAAGGTCGTGAGTTCGAGCCTCACCGGGGCAGTACCTTTTTGGTGCATTCAGTCAGGTGCCCCCTATCGTCTATATCGAGTGGATGGTCCCCGCCAACAGCCACAACCACAAAGGCAGACGGTTTTCATGCGCACGAAGGCATACGGAAAATACAGCAGGGATGCAGTGACGACGATAGTGAGTGGAATCTACTGATACACATGACGACCCAGAGATGTTGAACGTCTGGGAGGGCCGGATTATGTTGAATACCCGACTAGCTATTTTACTTTCACGAGCTCTATCCAACATGGTCGCCTCCGACACCCGTCTCCTCCATAAACGACCGCGCACCTGCGCGGATATGATACACAGCCCGGGACTGGGGGTAGAGGGGGCTTTAATCATCAGCCTCGATGCCGGCGGGGCGCTGGAGCGTGGACACGTCGACGCCGGGGAGGGGCCACCTGCGCGCGAAGCCGCGGACCTCCTTCTTCAAGTCGAGCACCTGCTGCGCGCCGACCTTGCCCTCCGCGGGCGTCGTCGCGACGCGGACAAAGTCCTTGAGGAGCTTGCTGCCCGCCTCCTTCTGCAGCACGAGCGCGATCTGCACCGCACGGTGGAGGAAGTCCGCGACGACCTTCATGTCCTCCTCGCGCATGTCGCGCGACGTGAGCGCCGCCGTGCCGAGACGGATGCCGCCGGGCACCTGCGCGGACGCGTCGCCGGAAACGGCGTTCTTGTTGATCGTGATCCCGACGAGGTCACAGAGCTTCTCCAGCTTGGAGCCAGTGAGGCCGAGCGGACGAAGGTCCCAGAGGACGAGGTGGTTGTCCGTGCCGGAGGTCTGGAGCTTGTAGCCGCGCTCAACGAGCTCTTTGCCAAGGGTAGTGGCATTGGCGATGACCTGCTTCGCGTACGCCTTCCACGTGGGCTGGCACGCTTGGAGGAGAGCAGTCGCAATACCGGCTATGGTCTGTAAACAAACAATCAGCCATGTTCACTGTATGCGTTGGATTGTTTGAGCATACGTTGTTGTGGGGACCACCTTGGCAAGCAGGGAAGACGGCGTCGTTCACACGCTTCTCGAGGTCCTTGGACTTGTCCGCGTCCCTCTTGAAGAAGATGAGACCAGCACGAGGCCCACGGAGGGTCTTGTGCGTCGTAGTGGTGACGACGTCGCAGTACTGGAAGGGATCCGCGAGCTCGCCGGCGGCGACAAGACCACTTGTGTGGGCGATATCGGCCATGAGGTATGCGCCGTGCTCGTCCGCGATCTCGCGGAGCGCCTTGTAGTCCCAGTCGCGCGGGTACGCAGACGCACCGCAGATGAGCAGACGGGGCTTGTAAATCTTGGCCAGCTTGGCGACACCCTTGTAGTCGATCAGCTGGGTCTCGGGGTCGAGACTGTAGGGCAGCGACTGGAAGTAGATCGACGACGCCGTCATCTTCTTCTTAGCGGTCTGTATGTTTTCATGTAAACTCAGCACAAAGCGATGACTGATGTCAATTCACGTACGTAGTAGCCGTGCGTGAGATGGCCACCATCAGGGAGACCAAGACCCATGAGTCGGTCCTGGGGCTGGATGAGCGCAGTGAGAGCGGCGAAGCTGAAGGAACAATATCAGCACCATGACTGTCTGCTACGGGTATGAAAACTGACTTGGCAGTCTATGGGAGACAATGAGGTCAGCAGTCCATCGGCGGAAATTGAGCGTAATTACGTACCGAACCGGAGTAGGGCTGCACGTTGACCCCCCACTGGGCGGGGTCAAGGTGGAACGCCTGAAGGGCCCGCTTCTGGCAGAGCAGCTCGAGCTCGTCGACGTACTCGTTCCCGCCGTAGTACCGGGCATTCGGGAGGCCCTCAGAGTACTTGTTCGTGAGGATCGAGCCGTTCGCCTCCATCGTCGCCCGGCTCGTCAGGTTCTGTGAGCGCCAGGTGAGCACTGCGTTGAGTTAAGCGAGTACTGGGTTGGTGGGTGGGCGTACCTCAGACGCAATGAGCTCGAGGCCGGAGTACTGCCGCCATGTCTCCTTGTCGATGATGTTCTGCACCTCGGGGTCGGTCTCGGCGAGGGGCGCGTACAGCACCTTGTTCTGCACACATGTCAAACGCACAGCGTGAGCAGCATGTCCTGCTGCAGGGTGCGAGAAAGCGGACGCACGTAGTCCGGGGTGGCGGCCATCGTTCTGCGGACAGCGGGGACGAGAATGGGCGAGCGGAGAGGGCGAGCGAGGAGGCGGAGCATTGAAAAAAATCGACGGCGCTGGGGCTATAACCAAGTCATAACTCTGACAGCTCTCGTTATTATCCCACATGGGCGTCACGTGCTCGTGATTCTCGCGCGATCGCCTGCGCTCCCGTCTCCGTCGCATATGCGAAGACGGCTCTCCGACGTTTGTGCACGCACTCACGCGAAGCACACGCTTTAAACTGGGCAATGCCCTGAACGGGCCAGCCATATGCATCGTATGACTTGTGAGGCGCCTACTGCAGGCATGGGGTATGTGATTGACGCGGAGGAGCTGGCACGAGCTTGTTTGCTTCCGGGCCGTCACCATGTAGGTACTCGCGACAACTATGGTGTGTCTGCGACATAGTAGACGAAACGAACTCATGCCTCTGATCCAGGTGCGACAGAGATGAATTTTGAGCAGCGTGAGGGACAATACGTACATGGTATAAAGTAGCGTATGAGGACAACAACAGTGACATGCTAAGATACCAATACATAGGTAGATGTGTACAGCGCGAAGGGGGAATCCAGTGTATGCAGCATCCGAGAACCCAAGGAAACGATGCACAAACAGTTCAGAAATATGATCGCGAGTCGACTGGCGGGCCGTTGCAGAGCTCCGAACCGAGCTTCTGGACGAGCTGCATCCCGAGCGGCTCGAGCGCCTCCTTCCAGAGCGCCGTCCGCCGGCGCGCCTGGAAGATGCACAAGCTGCGCTCGCCGACTTCGCCCTCGGGCCCGAACACGTACACCTTGTCCTCGCGCCACGGCGCCTGGCCGTGCGCGAACCCGAGCCACGCCTCCTGCACCGCGTTCCGCACGCGCGCGTACGTCCAATCGTCCACGACCGGCATCGCCCAGTCCGCGTCGTAGTCGTACCCGGCCGCATCCGTGTCCATGTCGCATATCGACGACCCGGAGGGAGACGACTTCGCGAGCGGGCACTGGCCCTCCTCCTCGAACTCGGGCGTGTAAAAGTACCCGTCTTCTCGGGGCTCGGTGTAGTCATATGGCGAGGCGGCAGGCAAGGAAGGTAGGGGCACGTTGTCGAAGATGTACATGAGGTCCACAGCGTGGTGCGGCAATCCGCGCGAGGGGCTCTCCTGGTCGAAGACGTACCGCCAGACGCCATGTCCGCCACGCTCAGCGCGTAAACTCTGGGCGATGAGTTCCGTAGGCCAAGCGAAGCGCGTGTCATTGATCAGATCTAGCAGCCGTTCAGGGAGCTCGTCGGCAGGAGTATATGAGTTAATGTCGTACGCGCGTAGCAGCACGTTCGCCTTGTTCAGAGACTGACAGATAGCCCGTATCCGTTTGACCGCGCCAGCAGCAGACCATAGTGAGGCAGGCAGAGACCAGAGGAGCGATTCTGCGCCGCAGTCGCCGATGATCACCGGCTGGTGGCTCGTGGGTGAAGGATGCCGTGTTCGCGAGTGCGAGCGCGACTTGTCGTGTAGATGATGGGGGACCTTGAGGTGATGTGAATGCGAGTTCAACTCGACAACAATATTGTCACCGAGGTGCGTCTCGACGTGGTGATGCTGCGCCGAGTCGTCGAGGTTGATGAGTGAGCCGCTCCAAGACTTGCGGAAGAAGACACCATCGTCTACTGCACGGAGGTTCTGTCCCATCCCGACCAGTCGTTCCGGGTCAACCGCGCGGAGCTCGTCAATTGACTGTACGCGTAGCGCGGACATAAGCTTCGACATCTGCCAGCCGACCTGGTGGAGGTTCGGCACCTCGAGCTCAACGATGGCGCTCTGTACGATCGAGCGCTGGAATAGCGGCGCAATCTCGTTGTCGGCTGAGTGCATGTGGCAAAGGATATCGCCGGCGCCCGTGGATTCGCCGAAGAGGGTGACGTTGTTCGGGTTGCCGCCGAACGGCTCGATGTATCGGTGCACCCATTCCATAGCCCTTCTCTGGTCCCGGAGGCCTAGAGCGTGCGACCATCAGCGTCCGCAGGTGTGTGCGAAAGACGAGCAAAGTTCAATACCATAGTTGCCAGCACCCTCACTGCCAGCTGCCTTGTTATCGTCCAACAAGGCTGGGCTTGCCGCAAAGCCGAGGAGGCCTAGGCGATAGCTGGATGGAAACGTTCAGCCCCCGCGCGTGGGACGTACAGTAGTCCCGGTTCAGCAAACTGAATACGCACTTTATTGCAACGATGATAACAGGTTTTCCTATCTGTATACTCTTCTGCACGAGTGGGCCGGCATCCGTGATCCAATTTGAGCCCGAGCCTCGATTCGCACCCCTGTGAACTGAGGGTTGGCTGAGGGGTAGCATGCGATATGATACTGCAGTGCGCACCCATGGATCCACAACATAACCGGGTAATGCGAGTCGGGTGTCGAGTCGGCAGGGCATGTAATATTTAGATTGAGGCACTCGAACTCGGATTGTCTAAACGCCTGGTTGGGGATGCAATCTTCGGTGAGGCCAAACATCTCCTCTTCGACACCCTTGTATTTTGGTTGTGGGCATATTGGCCTGCGAGCAATCAACTCCTGTTGAACAGGTAGGTCATGGTGGCGTGCTTACCCGAAACGGGCGCAGTCCGTCTGAGGTGGATAGCTCGAGCAGAGCTTGGATTGGCGGAAACGTGCGGGGATGGACGCGTATTTGATTCCGCGATATTGGTGCACGGGCGCGTCCGGGGTGGAGATCGGGTGGATGAGACCAGTGAAGGTCGTCTTAAGTTCTTCGTGGAGGACGACAGGCTCCTGGACGGAGTCGAAGGTCTTTGCAATCATCGCGAGATGTTATCCAGGACGACGGTTGAACCGTAGGAGAGAGCGAACGTGCGGGG